AGAGAGTCTCATCCACTCCCTGGACTGAGACAATCCTGGCAGTGAGAAGTCCATGTGCTACTTCTAAAGACTGCAGAAAGTCCCAGCGGCTGCAGGGAAAGGAGCCTTCCCCCTAGGACAGAGCCAGGCCGGCTCAGGAGAACGTGAGTGTGCTGCAGAACAAATCTCACGGAGAGGCTACTGGGTGCTTTGCTCATTTAAAACAGCATTGTGCTTATTCATCTTTGTGCAATGTCCCCTGTGATTGCACGTGGCTGCATGCAGTACTGGAGAAGTTAGGAGAAATTCAATTATATTGATTTACAGAAGAAAGCGATAATAACAAATGTAATAGGTAGTTGCTATTCCATATTTTATCATGAGCCATTAAGACTTTGGTTTCTAATATCCACTACCTTTAGTGTGAGAATGAAATTAAAACAATAATTTTTAGGACGAGTCTTCTCCACACAAAGCCCAGAGCTGTCAGCTAACCCAGTGTCGACACACATAAATCAAGACCTCATCAAATCTGGGTGCATTCAGATACTTGCTGGAAATCAATTGAAGAAGGTTCCTCTCAGAAAAGGTGCTTCTTGTTATAAAATATGCCAAGCAGGCATCCTACTCACTGTGCAAACTAGTTGTGGACTGGATAAATATATAGTAGGAAACTGAATGTGAGGATGCTTCTGTTTAATGTCTGTGCTTTGAAGATCTAATTACTAGATAGGTGACCACAGTCTACAACAGAGAAATAGAAAATTCAAAGCATTAAACTAAAGCAAGCAGAGAATTGTACTGGTCTGTAGCATGTTCCAGGTACTAATGACCAAAACCTGACTGATTTTAGGGGAGATCTGAAAAAAGACAGATTTTTGAGAGGGGTAACAAAATCAGTCATCCAGCCTTGAGGTTACCAGCTAAGAAATCTCTGGCATCTCCCACTGCTGGATACGCAATATCACTAGTGACAGCTTAATGTGCTGCTGCTCTGCTGCCAGGTGTACAGCTCCACTTCCACAAGGAATAAAGCCCTGAGCCCCTCCTAACCCGGCTCTCCTCCTCCGGCTCACCTTTCGTTAGGGGTCTCAGTACCGTGACAGACCAGATGAAAAACAAAGTGCAACCAATTCTCCAAACCTCTTCCTTTCAGCAAGTAAAATCCGAAATCATTATAGGTACACTGCTGGTGGAGGAGTTTCTCTCCCCAGTGTTCAGATTCTGCTGGGAACAGAGCACCAGGCAGCCACTCGTTCTAACACAGGCTGAGAATGCCTGCTCTTTATTATGGGCAAGGGCTAAAAGCTGCGGAGGTACATTCCAGCGTTGTAAAATTGCTCTGAATAGAAAAACAAGAGGACAAAACTCCGGCTTCTTGAGGTGGAGCATTTTTATGTTAATTTTGGTTTAGGAGCCCCGCTCAGTAGTTGAATGAATGGCCATTTGTTTGCACCGTCTTACGCTACCACTGCATGCAGTTTATGGCAATTTAACAGCGTATTTATAGCTGAGGTTTATAATTTCCATGCAGTTTTTCTTAGCTCCTTGCTATCATTTGACACCTTGAATGGCTCCTCCCCACCCGCTGCCCGGACCAAGCCGCAATGTGCTGCCAAAACAGCAGCGATGCCTCCTTCAGCGCGCTCCTGCCTCAGCCCAGCGACAGGAGCAGCTTCCACCTGGCTAAAGCATGGCCCTCTGTTCCCAGAAATCAGTCTCAGGGTCATACATGCCTCTCCCCGACCCTGTCAATGCTGAAGGTTTCCCAGCCCCCCCCTCAGAGACACCAGGGCAGCCTGCGTCGCCTTCGCAGCGAGGCTGGCGGGACACCAGCGCGGCTCCCACGGGACACGAGGAAGACCTGCCAACCCACCCAGCCTTCCTCCGGTGAGCAGACCGGGGTGCTGCTTTGGCTTGCAGCTGTCTGGCACTTCTCCAGGCGATGCTTGCTTGCTTTTTAAAAGCAAGCCACCCACAGCCCTCTTCCCAGCGAGGTGTGATGCACGGCAGGGTTTGCTGAGCCCCTGCCGAAGGTGGTCTCCCAGCCCGTGCTTTTTGCACAAAGCCTGGAGGCACCTCACGGTCCAAAACTGCTGGTGGGCAGAAAGCAGCTACCTGAGCCCTGGACATGGGCCTTCCCCAAAGCATCACCACTGCAGGAGGCCTGCAAAGGGCTTGTGGTTTCTCCCAGGAAACTCCTTTCCCTGAGGTGGGAGGAGCCCGGAGAGCAGCTCCTTCCTTCAGACTCTTCCCTCTGCCCCAGAGCACAGCTTGCACACTCATTTAGGTGGATGGATGGATGGATGGATGGATGGATGGATGGATGGATGGATGCACGGATACTTCAGTGCCTCCACTTCCTCAAGGATGCAGAGCTCCTGTGGGGCAGGTCACTGTGGGCCAGCTCTGCCCCAGCCCGAGCCCGGAGCTTGTCCCATGGGTCCCCCCAGCACTTTCAGACCATCTTTGGGGAGAGGGGGACTGAGGTCTGGGTGGAGGCCGGGCGGGAGGGAGGGGGCTCCGGGGCGTCCCCGGGGTGTGGGGCCAGGGCATGAGGGGAAGCAGCAGCTGCACACCTTCCCTGGGGAGCAGAGAGCTGAGATGAGTTTCAGTGCCAGTTTCAAAGGCACGCGCTTCTCAGAATTAACCCTCTGGCCTCCCCGCACACCTTAGGCCAGCCTGTTGCCACTTTCCTTGGCATTTCAGGGGCTCAGGGCATCCTCCTTGAGCTTTACGACAGGGCTACAATGTGCTAGTTGTGCTTTCAAACAGGAGGAGGAAGCCAGAGGAGCAATGGGACTGGATGGTTTGCAGTATGCGGATGGCTGAGGCTGGCAGGGGCCTCTGGAGAGTGTGTCCACCCCCTGCCCAGGGCAGGGTCGCCAGAGAGGGATGTTTGGTCAGGCTTTGTATAGCTCCATGGGTGGAGGAACAGGGCACCTCCCTTGGTGACCTATTCCTGCGCTTGACCACTGGTAACACCCAGGCAGGCTGGGATTTAATCTCAGTCAACATCTGAAAAAGGTCATCAAAGCTTGGGCAGAGGTCGTCACCCTCACCCTTACCCAAAGTCTCCTCCTTTTCTGTATAAAACTGGTACCCTCTGCAGGAACCCCTGTCCAGCTCTGCTACCTGATGCCCGTAGGAGCCTTCAGCACCTCAGAGGTGTGATCACATCAGCACAGGAGACTCCATCTCCCAGCTAGACCAACTCCCCCACCCCAAGGAGTCTACCATCCATGTATAATTCACAGATTCAAATATTCTACCTTTTTCCATTTAACCTTTGTCAGCAAAGTTAATTTGCAGAGGCAGATTGTGAGCTCTGTGGGACAGAAAATGCATTTTTCCTAGTGTGTTGTACATAGTAACAGTTTCTATGTAATATTCCATAGAAATAAGAGTCTTCATAGGACAGGCTAAATATAACAGCTCTAATGAAGTTACCTCTGGTCTTAAACATAATGTGCCGCCTTCCAGCCTGCAGGACTTCAGCACATGCATTGTTCCCCTTCATCAAAAATAGGGGAATAAGATGGCTGTTTTCCTGTCCTCGGGCATTTTTACCTGCCTCTTTTTTGGCCTGGGAACTGCTTCAATACATCCTTCAGTTTCTAAGTATCACCCAGTGACCCCTAGGAAATGTCACATCCCTCTTTTGCCACTTTCTCCCAGCCAGGCCACTTCCCGGTCTTGTCCCACCACTCCACGGCCTCCTCGACCTCACCTCTGCAACTGCAAGAGCTCTCTAGCCCTGCCTTTCTTGGCGTCTCCATCCCTCACCAATTCCCAACAGTGCCCAAGTCTCAGCAGAAAACATGCCTGCCACCTTTTGCTATGCTCATTTTTTTATTTCCTGACATTATCTCTAAAACTGAGAAGATGAAGCTTATATGAAAGAAAACAAAATCATCCCCCCAACCTCAGGCTGAACAAAACTGAGCATTGCCTGGTTAGGTAGGGCAGAATTTAAACTTCCCTCTAAAAGCTCACAGCATAGTAGCTTCAGAACCAAGGAAACTTTAACGACCTCAGCTAATCATGACTATGAATTAGGCTGCTCAGATTGATTCCTACTGGTGAGTTATGTGGCATCACACACAGTGCAGCAACACAGTCATCCACATTAAAAACATGCACAGTCCCTTCAAGGGTTGCAGGCAGGAATGGCAGAGAAGGGATTACTGCCCGGCCTGAGGAGCGAGTGCCTTGGATCCCTGCACCCTAATGTGTAAAGTTTTTAAATGCATTTACTGGGACCATCTGCTCCAAGAGCTGCAGCACAAGGGCAGGGGAAGCTGCCTGCAATAGGTTGTTTTCTCTAGCTGCTTGTCTGGAACCCAAGTCACAGTTGGCTGGTGGTCCAGAACTGAGAAACGAAAGACACAAATGAAATGTAGTCTGCTCAAGCACTGCTTTAGTATTTCACTAACAGGCCACCTTGCTTAAAATCACTTAAAACTTCTGATATACGTGCAGAGGGAGAGAGCACTCCAGAAGTTACAGATACTCTACAGATGCACAAAAATAAACAGTGGCTTAGCTAAAATTGTTTATAGATACAGTGGGGGAAAACAAGTATTCCTATTAAACATTTCAGGCTCACAGAGTCTGGTTTTCCTTTCCTACCTACTATTTGCATTCTCTTCCACTGCAGGCAATGTTTGGAGAACCCAAATAAGCAAAGAAAACCTGATGATGTGCCACTGTAGATACAGTGGTGGCACTTGCTATTTGCATAGAATATGCCCTTATAAAACAAACCAGAGACCCTATCCCACACTTTTTCACTAGAATAGGTACACCAATAGCCGGTGTACCTATAGAACTCCATCGACTCTATGAGTAGAATAGATACACTCGTGCTCTGTATCCAGAGGATGTGCTGAGTGAACAAGGGGTGAAGTTCCTTTAAAATACCCATTTTGCATTCCCTGTGAAGGCCAGACCCAGCCAATAGCACTCTGTACTGCATGCATTGCAATAAGCTGTAGATCATCGTTTGGCAGAAGACTTACCCGCTGGCTGCCAAGCTGTCCAGGAGCTAGTAACAAGAGACCTCGCTGCCACCAGCTAACCCTGACGTGCTCGGGACCTGTGGACCACTGTGCACCCGCTCTCCCCCGTGAAGCAAGCACCGCTTGATTCAGGTCATGAAGTCACTCTCATTGGCAACAGCGACCAACGCATCTGGCTGCATTTCAAGTCACAGCTGAAAACCTCTTGGCTGGGGCTGTTTCGTACAGTCCGCCGTGGGCTCCCCTTGCAAACAGCAACCGGGCAGGGTGAAGGCCAGTGCGGCTGGCCAGCTGGCTGGCGCCTGGCTAGTGCTCCAGAGAGCAGTGGAGGGTTATTTGCCTTGGGGGATCTCAACTCGGGATGTTCAAATTCTAAGTAATAGATCAATTTACTGAGCTAGACCTGGAGCTCTGTGCTTGCCAGGGCCTGAGATGCTCTTTCAAGAAGCACTGTGCTGTCACCAGGAGCCAGCCGCCTGCCAGCCCCAAGATCTCCAGGTTGGGGCTGCAACTTGACTCCAAAAAGCACCCCAAAGCCCGTGCAGTGTTCGCATTTTCTGTTTCCTCACTCTGAAACGCTGTGTTTGCTCAAGCGTCTGACTGCACTCAGCTGTCACCACCAAGAGAAGACAGCTTAGCAGCCGTGTCCACCCTGACAGCCATGGCACAAGCCCAGCTGCAGAGCATGGCCACGCAGCCAGGGCCAAGAACTGCACCAGCAGGGCCATGGGAGAGGCTGGAGAGGAGACCTTCCTTCTGCTTTGCTCTCTGTTCTGTCTTTTCATCACTTTTTGTTCCTGCTTTACCTTTTTCTACTGTTTTCTTCCTCCTCTCTCCTTGGTCATTAACCCTTCGTTCCTACCAAAGCCAGGTGGGTCCAGCCTCTGACATCTGCAGCCCCCAGCACTGAACTAAGCTGTGCTTTTTCTTAGGGAAGGAGCATCAGCTCCCCCAGCAATATCGGTTCCCAATCTCTGCAACTCCACTTCCCTCAGCAGCTTTTTCCCCACCAGTCCCCAAGGGCATGAGCAGGGGGTGAGGTTGAGTTTGGGGACTGCAAGCAGATGTCCACGGTGGCAGAGGACAGCCACTGGAGCAGAGCACTGCGGATGCCTGAGCTTTGATGCCAAATCCCCAAATCCCTTGTGGGAGCCCATGGGCACAGTGTGTCCCTCTGTCCAGCTGTGTCTGGACCGGCAGCTCTGCCCTCCCAAGCGGCATCTCTGCTCACACCACCACCACGGTGCCATCACTGCCTTCAGAGCTTGGTCAAAATCAAATGACATTCACAGCGATTGGGTTGGAGGTACCTATATCCTTCATTCTCAGTGTTTCACCATGCAACAGTGAGCAGATACTCTTCAGATTCAGTTTATCACAAGAATTTCTTTCATTAAATCCTTGCCAGAACCCCCCCCACATTATCTGCGCTGCTAACGCAGTACGAGACTCGGCATTAATCCAACATGCAGCCACCAACAAATTCAGATTTGTTGCTAACAAATGTGAGGAAACACTTGGCCGCTGTTGCATCCATGACCTTGTCTGCGGTGTCGTAGGAATTACTGTTTTCCCCTTACCTGCTGCCTTCTCTTCTGTTTTCCAGGATGTAAAACAATTAATCATGGAAGGTGAGGAAAGTGCTCCTCCTTGCTCTTGGAGAGGGGAAGAAAGGAGCTGCAGAACATTTCTAGCTCAAGTAAAAAGCATCAGGATAACAGTCTGGCACCAAGTTATTCTACAGAAATATTAGCAATGATATCCACTGCAACGTGAACTGGAGCTGGCTGGATATTTGTCAGGGTTTTGGCTTGTGTGGGTTGGGGTTGGTTGGGTTTTTTTGCTTTTATATAAATTAATTTAGAAATGGAATGCAGAGGTGCCTCTTTTATAGCAGCTCAGCTCAGAAAAATGTTGATTTGCAGTTTTTGTGAGGGTTTAGGTGGTAATGCTCCTCTTGCTTTCACTGTAGCAGCTTGTTTCTAGACCATGGACATACCAATTTGCTGCTTCTTTGCTAGTTTGTGAGGAGTATATATCATATATCCATATAAGTTTGCTTGTTTTCCATGTTTGTATTTCAGACCTCCTTTTTTTTCCTCTCCAAGCATCCTTATTGACAGAGTAATAAATATTATAGCATCTCTTTCCTGTGGATTAGGAGGACTGCAACTATCTGTTCAAATGCTCAGAATATTCTATTTTTTCACTGCACATGATAGGGGAGGGGAAGAAAAAGCATCATAACCCACGATGGGTGATCAGGCAGGGGAACAGCACGTACACAAAATGCTCTACAGTTACTCTGGAATTACACTGTGCCTGTTTCTGAAAGCTTAATTTGTCATTTAAGGATTTTGTATATCAGAGGATCCAGCTGCAGGCTTGAATTATTGTATTCCCATCAGGGTATCTCACAGGAACCATCTAGGAGATAAACCCTATACCAGCATTGCAAAGTATATTGTTTCCAGTAGGCCAGGTAAGAATGGGTTTGTGGAAAAAGGAGCATTTCAAAACAACAGTGTGCCCATACCTCTGGAAACTTAGAATCAGATCCGAAGTTCTTGAGTCAAGAGCAATCTTCTGTTCCTCTCAAGCACCTAATATCTCCAGATGGCATAGGCTCATCTCCTTTCCCAGAGGCAGTGTTGCCTTAGTTAGTCCCGTGCTGCAGTTTGGGACCAGACACAGGAAAGCCACACTGGATTTGCGGGTAGAATTTACACCACTGGTCTATTACTGCTGCAAAGCTCGATGCCCTAGGCAAGACCAAGGCAATGGGACTTAGTAAAATCACTGCTTTTCCTCAAAAAAGTCATCTCTTGCCTTTATCACAGGAAAGTTACCCACTGACACATGGAGCTTTGAGAACACAGGCATCAAGTGGATAAAGCTGACAGGGTAAAGGAGAAACAAGATATGAAATTAAATAATGGATTATAGCACTTGTCTCTTGCCTGCAAGAATTTGGAAAATAAGAGACAGGAAGGTGCCTAGCACCAGAAATACCATCAAAAAAGGCTCATGCAAGATTTTATTTTTATGAAGACATGCTCAAAAGGAAGACAAGCAAAGCATGGCTCTAGAACAAATATAATTTCTCACAGTCAAAAAGATTAGTCTTGCTCAATAGTCTACAGCTAAGTGGGAAGAGCTCATTGTTGGGTGACACTAAAAAAGAAAGCGAGAGAACAACACTGCAGTCTTACCAAAAAAAAAAAATAAATAAAAAAAAAAATGGAGGGATATTGCTTTCATAAAAAGACAGAAGCTTCTGAGGTCTGAGACGGGAGATTTATATCAAACCCACAGCCTAGTGAAATGCCTAGTTTAAGACTAGATTGTAAGGGCTGTCAGAAACACAAAGCTGGAAAAGAGCCTGCTAAAAAGCCCAGTAAGGATTCACCATTCCTGTAGCTCACAACTGCAAATCCTGGCCAGAAACCCACAGTGGACCGAGTGAGCAAATCCCAGCCCCATGGACCAGGCATGCAGAGCCAGAATTGCAAGACCCAAGAAAATATTTGCAAAGCCCAGCATATCTGCACAAGGTGGTTTCCATCCAGTGTGGAAGTACACATGGGCTTCTGCAACTCTGCCGTGTTTACAAGAACATGGTGAGGACCCACAGAAACATAACTTGAAAGAAACCCCAAAGGTCCATCCCTGCAGGGAGCAGATGGACTCGGTACAAAGGAGGGGAACTGCTCACACAGATTTCTCAAGAAGCCAAAGCACCAAGCAAAACTTCAGCATGAGCATGAGGGCCTCTTATAAATTGAACACTTCTGTGAGAGGGTAGATGGAGTTTTGATAAAAGCGTTGGAAAGAAAATGTAATCGTGCTTATTGCTGAACTAGACTAGCATGGTAGGAAAATAATTTTTATCATAGATTGAAGCTAGATGTCAGAGGAAAACAAAATATTGAAGAGTTTGTTTCAAATAATGAGCTCTTATTCCAGGGCTGAAAACATCTTAAGATTTAGTGTTTGGGTTCATCTCCCCCAACTTTCAGGACTGCCCGTCCAAGGTCCCTCATGGGTTAAGGGAGGAGAACAGGCACCTCTGGGATGCAGAGCATCTCAGCAAGTTTAGAGATCTAGCTTAGGTCTAGCTCAGGAGGAGGTGAGTTGTATCCTAGAAGTGGGTGTTTTTCTCCACCAGATAAAAAGGGAAGCTTTACAACACACGTATCTACACATGAGCTGCTTGATCACCATCATCTGAAGCCAGGGTGGGATTCGTCTTACCTTACTGGGTGAAAATTCATATCATAGGACAGGAGCTTGCAGAGAAGAAAAATAAAATAAAGAAGGAAAAGTCCCAACAAAACCAAAAAGGCCCAGTTCCCAATAGTAGGTGAAGGTAACGCAGACAGTGATACCTCTAAAGTAAAATGAAGATGAGACAGAATATTAAAAAAAAAACAAAACCCAAGCTAACATTTCTGAACATACTGAAGGAAGCCAAATTCACAGGGCAAGGCTGGCACAGGCCTGCTTATGCTGGGAAAATATATATATTGATTTTGGATCACTGTTCTTAGAATTCAAAAATAGCATTATTAAAGATTACAAACCAGTAACCACGTGGTCTCCTGTCTAAAAGCCTGTCTGCCAGTCATAGCATAACAACTGTGGAAACAACAGATAACAAACCACAGCTCGAGTGTTACAAGTTTAAGTTTTTCAGGGAAAAAAAAAGAAAAAATACTGTGCAGAAACTCCCGTGAGCCCAAAGCAATTTGGCTCAGTCTGGGATCTCCAGCTTATCTACCTTGTGGGAAGCAACGCCTGCAGTCCCAGCCCAGCATACGAATGTATAATGAGGTGTTATTCTGGGTTCTGGGGGGCAATTCCGCCCTCCTCACGCCTCTGAAGGGATTACTAGAGGGGACCGGGCCTACAGGAGAAACAAGAAACCCTTCGTCAGGCTCACCCAGCAAAGGGGGAGACGGCAGCCCCGGTTCCCCCCACTGCAGGGCGAGGCCAGCTGGGCTCCTCGCAGCGGGGAGGGGGCTGAGGACGTCAGCTCAGGGACCCCCGGGGCGCGCAGGAGCCAGGCGGCCAGCGCCGCACCCAGCCA